TGAGACACACAGACAGATAGATAGTGAGACACACAGACAGATAGATAGTGAGACACACAGACAGATAGATAGTGAGACACACAGGCAGATAGATAGTGAGACACACAGACAGATAGATAGTGGGACACACAGACAGATGAATGAAGTAGAGACACACAGACAGATAGATAGTGAGACACACAGACAGATAGATAGTGAGACACACAGACAGATAGATAGTGAGACACACAGACAGATAGATAGTGAGACACACACAGACAGATAGATAGTGAGACACACAGACAGATAGATAGTGAGACACACAGACAGATAGATAGTGAGACACACAGACAGATACAGTGAGAGACAGATAGATAGATAGTGTGACACACACAGGCAGGTAGATGAGTGAGACACACAGACAGATAGATAGTGAGACACACAGGCAGATAGATAGTGAGACACACAGACAGATAGATAGTGAGACACACAGACAGATAGATAGTGAGACACACAGACAGATAGATAGTGAGACACACAGACAGATAGATAGTGAGACACACAGACAGATAGATAGTGAGACACACAGACAGATAGATAGTGTGACACACACAGATGATGATAGTGAGACACACAGACAGATAGATAGTGAGACACACAGACAGATAGATACTGAGACACACAGACAGATAGATAGTGAGACACACAGACAGATAGATAGTGAGACACACACAGACAGATAGATAGTGAGACACACAGACAGATAGATAGTGAGAGACACACAGACAGATAGATAGTGAGACACACAGGCAGATAGATAGTGAGACACACAGACAGATAGATAGTGAGACACACAGGCAGATAGATAGTGAGACACACAGACAGATAGATAGTGAGACACACAGGCAGATAGATAGTGAGACACACAGGCAGATAGATAGTGAGACACACAGGCAGATAGATAGTGAGACACACAGACAGATAGATAGTGAGACACACAGGCAGATAGATAGTGGGACACACAGGCAGATAGATAGTGAGACACACAGGCAGATAGATAGTGAGACATACAGGCAGATAGATGAGTGAGACACACAGGCAGATAGATAGTGAGACACACAGACAGATAGATAGTGAGACACACAGGCAGATAGATAGTGAGACATACAGGCAGATAGATAGTATGACTCACAGACAGATAGATAGTGAGACACACAGACATATAGATAGTGAGACACACAGGCAGATAGATAGTGAGACACACAGGCAGATAGATAGTATGACTCACAGACAGATAGATAGTGAGACACACAGGCTGATAGATAGTCATACTCACAGGCAGGTAGATAGTGACACACAGGCAGATAGATAGTGTGACTCACAGACAGATAGATAGTGAGACAGACAGGCAGATAGAAAGTGAGACACACAGGACAGATAAAAAGTGAGACACACAAGTAGATATATAGTGAAACACAGATGCAGATAGATAGTGAGACAAAGGAAGATAGATAGTGACACATAGGCATATAGATAGTGAGACACACAGGCAGAGAAAAGAGACACACGGGCAGATAGATATTGTGACACAGGTAGATAGGTACTGAGACACACAGGCAGAGAAGTGAGGCACACAGGCGGATATTGGGACATACAGGCAGATAGATAGTGAGACACACAGGCAGACAGGTAGTGAGACACACAGGCAGAAATATATTCGGACACAAAGACAGATCATAAACAGAGAGATAGGGAAACATATAGACAAACATAAACACAGGCAGATAGACGGTGAGGCATAGGCCAATAGACAGTAAGATAGAGAAAGATAGACAAACATAAACACAGGCAGATAGACGGTGAGGCATAGGCCAATAGACAGTAAGATAGAGAAAGATAGACAAACATAAACACAGGCAGATAGACGGTGAGGCATAGGCCAATAGACAGTAAGATAGAGAAAGATAGACAAACATAAACACAGGCAGATAGACGGTGGGGCATGTAGGCAATAGACTGTAAGATACAGAAAGATACACAGAACATAAACACAGGCAGATAGACGGTGAGGCATAGGCCAATAGACAGTAAGATAGAGAAAGATAGACAAACATAAACACAGGCAGATAGACGGTGAGGCATAGGCCAATAGACAGTAAGATAGAGAAAGATAGACAAACATAAACACAGGCAGATAGACGGTGAGGGCATAGGCCAGTAGACAGTAAGATACAGAACGATGAACAAACATAAACACAGGCAGATAGACGGTGAGGCATAGGCCAATAGACAGTAAGATACAGAAAGATACACAAACATAAACACAGGCAGATGGGCGGTGAGGCATAGGCCAATAGACTGTAAGATACAGAAAGATACACAAACATAAACACAGGCAGATAGACGGTGAGGGGCATAGGCCAGTAGACAGTAAGATACAGAAAGATAGACAAACATAAACACAGGCAGATAGACTGTGAGGCATAGAGGCAATAGGCAGTAAGATAGAGAAGATAGACAAACATAAACACAGGCAGATAGACGGTGAGGCATAGGCCAATAGACAGTAAGATAGAGAAAGATAGACAAACATAAACACAGGCAGATAGACTGTGAGGCATAAGACAAATAGACAGTAAGATAGAGAAAGATAGACAAACATAAACACAGGCAGATAGACTGTGAGGCATAGGCCAATAGACAGTAAGATAGAGAAAGATAGACAAACATAAACACAGGCAGATAGACGGTGAGGCATAGGCCAATAGACAGTACGATAGGCAGAGAAACGATACACAAACATAAACACAGGCAGATAGACGGTGAGGCATAGGCCAATAGACAGTAAGATAGAGAAAGATAGACAAACATAAACACAGGCAGATAGACGGTGAGGCATAGGCCAATAGACAGTAAGATAGAGAAAGATAGACAAACATAAACACAGGCAGATAGACTGTGAGGCATAGGCCAATAGACAGTAAGATAGAGAAAGATAGACAAACATAAACACAGGCAGATAGACGGTGCAGGGGCATAAAGCCAATAGACAGTACGATGAGAACGATACACAAACATAAACACAGGCAGATAGACTGTGAGGCATAGGCCAATAGACAGTAAGATAGAGAAAGATAGACAAACATAAACACAGGCAGATAGACTGTGAGGCATAGGCCAATAGACAGTAAGATAGAGAAAGATAGACAAACATAAACACAGGCAGATAGACGGTGAGGCATAGGCCAAAAGACAGTAAGATAGAGAAAGATAGACAAACATAAAGACAGGCAGATAGACTGTGAAGCATAGGCCAATAGACAGTACGATACAGAAAGATAGACAAATATAAACACAGGCAGATAGACGATGAGGCATAGGCCAATAGACAGTAAGATAGAGAAAGATAGACAAACATAAACACAGGCAGATAGACGTGAGGCATATATAGGCCAATAGACAGTAAGATACAGAAAGATAGACAAACATAAACACAGGCAGATAGACGTGAGGCATATATAGGCCAATAGACAGTAAGATAGAGAAAGATAGACAAACATAAACACAGGCAGATAGACGGTGAGGCATAGGCCAATAGACAGTAAGATAGAGAAAGATAGAGAAACATAAACACAGGCAGATAAACGTTGAAACATGAGCTAATAGACAGTGAGATAGAGAAACATTGACAAACATAAAGCCAGACACATCCACACAGGTACAGAGACAAACATGCACGAGATCACACATTCACACAAGTGGAAATATCCATACGGGCTTACATACAAACAAACAAACAAACACACATGCAGAGAACGGCACACAGAGGCAATATTCAGATATACAAACAGACAGATATATGTACAATCAGACAGATATACAAACAGACAAATATACAGATAGACAGTGAGTGAGTGAGTTTAGTTTTACGCCGCACTCAGCAATATCCCAGCTATATGGCGGCGGTCTGTAAATAATCGAGTCTGGACCAGACAATCCAGTGATCAACAGCATGAGCATCGATCTGCGCAATTGGGAACCGATGACATGTGTCAACCAAGTCAGCGAAACTGACCACCCGATCCCGTTAGTCGCCTCTTACGACAAGCAAAGTAGCCTTTTTATGGCAAGCATGGGTTGCTGGAGCATTATTCTACCCCGGATCTTCACGGGTCACAGATAGACAGACATAGAGACACCTGCAAAGTTTTAAAAAATGGAATGCACATATAATTATATGATATACCACATCATAAAGGACAGTATACAAAGTGGTCACCATCTTGCTCTAAGTCCGGGTTCGATTTTCCACATGACTGCAGTAGTGTTACCAAACTTTGTAAACCCCGTTTTCAATGGCTGTGTAATTGTTTTACTGGTAATCTCTAAATTTACACACTCACTCACCGTCAATGTATGCGGAGCAAACAAGTCGACTTCATGGCCATTTTGGGGGATATATTTGTAAAATTGTGTGCTGAGACTATACTACGAAATCATATCCCCAAATATCCTTGATTCTTTTTATTTCAGTATTGCTTGCTTCACTGCAAAAATGTCCTGGGCCTAGATTTTCGAAGCTCTCTTAGCACTAAGATAGTCGTAAGTTAATGTTAATGAATGGCAGGACTATCTTAGCGCTAAGAGAGCATCGTAAATCTAGGCCCTGTTCCATAGTTTAAGTTTTCCATGTCTGGAACAAAAAAAAACCACTTTTGGTATGTGTAACATCTTATCGGCTCCCACGTACAAACGTTTTGGACCAGTTACACCGTAGCCTGGGTTCGATCCCCGATATGAGAGCAATGTGTGAAGCTCATTCGGGTGTCTCGAGATTTTACTAGAGATATTACTAAACGTGGAGTATTACTATACACTTCACCAGCTCACACACAAAAACAATCATATCGGCCAACAACAAGCCTCACCGAGCAGCTCAGCTCAAACAAACTGCCTTGACCCGAGCGAGCGATAGCGTTGGCAGATCTCCAACAGAACTCCGTCAACATTCACAACGAACCCCTCTTAAGGCGACGTCGGATCTTTAAATCGGTAGCGGTAAACAGTCAACAAAGATGAGGGGTGTTGATTGAGCTCTCGGTCGCGGCTGTCACATCCAAGGGACGCAGTAGGGGATGCTGACGCACACGGGGTCAGACATGGAGATGTTGCTGCTGCTGGTCGTCGTCGTTATTCCAGGTAAGACCGAAAAACTGTCACACGGGATGGGGGGATCGGTAAAAAGTGACCGGTAAATAGACTACAATTCTTTTATTCAACAGTTAATTTCTTTTAAGGGTAAGAAGACAAATAGTTTTAGTGACTTGAGAGGGTTTGGAGAGATGTGGTTTTGATAGTGCGTAATTCGTTACATGTTTGTTTCAAGGTATGTCCGAGGGCTATTATATTCGGCAGGGTGCAGTCGTGTATGTAGGTGCATTGATAACGACATTGCTATTGATGAAACTGATAAATTTAATGTACTGGTGATATACACCATGATAATAAATGAATGTACATCGCTAAAAGCGATATTTCCAGTCCATGCTAAGATATCTCATACAATAAACCCCACAGGTTTAGGTTATTATTATTTTTTATTTCTTGTCCTACGTGCATTTTTCATTACCTTTTTTCACTATTTTCAGTTTATTCTTTCATTGGCTGATTTCTCGCATGCTTAATATTTATAACATAAAGGCAAATAAAAAGCCTTACCACTACAGCGTGTACCCTAGGTGTACAAACTTTCAACTTAATGAACAATGGGTATCTACATTCTCAAAATTACACGTCACATCTAAAGCGTGTGTGATCAGCCGCTGCGAAAACACTATCAAAAACTCTCCGGCGCACAGATAAAGTCAGTTGTTTGTTGATGTCACATAAAATACGTTGCCACTCTTTTTGGAGGGCATGGGTCAGTTCTTGTCTGTGGGCTAGATGATCTGGTCGTTGTCGAACACGACGATCAATGGCATCCAAGAGGGGACATGTCAGAAGCGTAGCTACCATTATAAAAAACCCAGGGCTAACACGTGATTTAAAACATTAAAGTTGGGCAAGCCCTCAATACTATCTAAATATAAAGCTAAATTATAAACCTATCGGGCTTACAAGAAAAGAATTGGCTTGCTATGCGCCTGCATGTCTGGGGAGCGTGCACGGCAGCATGTTGACGTTGTTCGCTGCAAAGACTTTCTGACAAGCTTTCAAAGTTTCAGTAACGATTACCAGTAGCGTTCTTTTCTGGGCACAAATTCATCCCTAAACTAAACTACACTAAACTACACGACCTCTTGAATTCATTCAGAGGTACACACTCGTCACTCTTTCATCAGCTGTGAACAGACAGAACAGGTTTTCTTAAGTGAAGACGACCTTCTGCCAGTCACGTCGCTGCCGACAACCTACACCCGTGTCCATCTCAATCTCTGACGATGATGTTGAGCTGTCAGTATATTCCCTCTGCAATGTCTATAAGCCCTAATGTCTTGATGCCTGGGTAGCCTGGCTCTTGTCAGTCGTCTAACCATATGCTCCAAGACATTCGTTGCTGATGACGTCACTGTCAGAAATCGATTTCTGAGACGTAAAGTGACAGTCCTCATTGGGCGTAATTTCCCTGGGCCAGCCTGTTCTTCGATGCACCAGGTTGACTACAGCAACGCGGGAGCACACACATATTCTAGCAATATAGGCATGGGGGGATCCCAATAGGCCCTGTAAGTAGGTCACGGAACTTCGCGAGATCGGTGACAAACAACGTACACTTGGTCCGGTCTTGTAAAGTCATATTTGGCGGTCGCGCAATTTGGAACCAGAACTGGTTCTTGAATATACGTTTTTGCAAAAGAAATCTTGTACCGGAAGTAGGCTGGGCCCCGTCTCGCATATCGCAAGTTGGTTCGCACAAAGGAAACCGGGAACCGGCTTAGTGCCGGAAATAGCCCCTTGCGAGACTTGCAGACCTTATTGTATCATACCCAGGGCCCGCTCGCATTGTTCGGGTGCCGGTCGAGGTATTTCAGTGGTGATATATTATCAATGTGAGTGTCTCCCATGCCATTCGTATAATATATATACCCTGATTGCATGTGTAGTTTCGGCTGCCCATGCGGGAACTAGTCAAATGGGCCGAAGGACAAAAGGGCCGAGAAGTGCCAAGTCAAAAGGGCCGATGGAAAAAGTCAAAAGGGCCGAGATGAAAGTCAAATGGGCCGTGACAAAAAGTCAAAAGGGCCTTATTCCTAGTCATATGGGCCGAACAGAAAACAAGTTTAGAAAGGTTTAACATTATTTATTGACACATATAGCATTGAAACATAATATCATCATAACATTAATGGAGGTAAGAAGGTAAGAACTACATAGTTGGTTCTTTTTTCTTTTGACATGATTCTGTTGGCAGAAATAATTTTAGTTTGTGTTTTGTTATTAGCTGTTTGGACGAGAGAATCTAGTTGTTGTTGTGTTATTTTAGGGTCTAGTTGTGTAACCCCTTTTATTTGTTGAGTCCAGTTAGGTGTTACAACTTTAACTGGAAAATTGATTTTGTTTTGCTTTGTAGTTTGGTTCATAAGCTTTTTGTGTGAACTGGATGAGATGTCCATGTCATTTGAAGTGAGTTCATTAGTTAAGACACTGAGTCGAGATACCTTACAATAAAAATGTTAAGACTCCCATGTTTTAATTAGATTTGGATTAAAAACTTACAACAAAAACAAACATCCCATACGGATTAGTCATGACACTAAGTCAAGACGCTTCACAATGAAAACATTTGAGTCTCATGTTCAAATTCCATTTAAAATAACAATAACAACTAAACACTATTTACACTATTTTACAATTTACTTTAGTACATTTTTATTTTTCGGCCCTTTTTTCGGCCTCTTTAACTTTTCATTTCGGCCCATTTGACTTTTAGCCTCGGCCCTTTTGACTTTTTTTTCGGCCCTTTTGTCCCTCGGCCCTTTTGACTACAACCCGCCCATGCGGCATGTCTTTTTCACTTTTCGAATGTTGTAAACCCTGTTTTTGGCTGTATACCTGCTTTATCTCTCTACATTCACACACTCACTTACCCATCAATGTGTATTGAACAAACTATTTGGGTCATGAATATTTTAGGGGACATATTTATAATTGTGTGCTGAGACTTTACTACAAAAACATATCCCCAAAATATACATGATTTTCCTATTTCCACACTGTTTACTTCACGGCAAAAATAGCCTGTCTCCATATTTTAGAGTTTTCACAATCCACTTTTGGTTGATGTAAGCTCTTATCGACTCCCTCACACCCAGGGCCAGGATGTACCAGTATCAAAACAACAGAAAAAAGACGCAAAAACCGTGCCCATGACGTGTATCACTTTCTCTATAGAGCTTTGGACGATGTGTTTAGCATTCATTTATGACGTGTTTGTTGTTGCATGACGTATGCATGTTTCTATGACGTGTTTGTTGTTGCATGACGTATATATGTGTATGACGTGTTTATTGTTGTATGACGTATATATATGAGAATATACTAAACGATGTCCCGTGTGATACCATATTTATGAAACGAGTGAATGGTTTGTTATCTAACGAGCGAAAGCTCATAAATATGGTATTACATGGGACATAGTTTAGTATTTTTTTTATTACTCACCCAACATTAGCAAAATAATATCGAGCAAAGTACTTCTTTCCTAAGAATTCAACAAGTGTGGTGACTCTCAGCTTTCCGCGAGTCAAGCAGGGTCTAATACTATTGTGACAGAGGTATTAACGTTGTGACGTCATAACTGTAGACCACTTTGACGTCAGACGTACGGCATCACGCGATGTTATTACACAATGTGTATGTGTAAGTGGCGGATGAGTAAAAATGTTTCTATGACGTGGTTATTGTTAAACATGATATCTTCAACGGGTGAGTAAAAAATGTTTCTATGACGTGTTTATTGTTGTATGACGTATGTATATTTCTATGACGTGTTTAATGTATGACGTATGTATATATCTATGACGTGTTTATTGTTGTATGACGTATATATGTGTCTATGACGTGTTTATTGTCGCATGACGTATGTATGTTTCTATGACGTGTTTGTTGTTGCATGACGTATATACACTATGGGTATGACGTGTTTATTGATGTATGGCGTATGCATGTGTCTATGACGTGTTTATTGTTATATAACGTATATATGTTTCTATGACGTGTTTACTGTTGCATGACGTATGTATGTTTCTATGACGTGTTATTGTTGTATGACATATGTATGTTTCAATGACGTGTGTGTTGTTGTATGACGTAAATATGACTGACATGTTTAGGTTACTCTGACGCGTTTATCTCTATGACTTGTTTATAACATGTATATTACCTAGCTATTTCTCTGTGGCGTGTGTATGTATCTAGGACGTAGGTATATCTGTAACACGCATTTACGTCTCTAAGGTGTGTTTATCAAGACCCAAGGCCTTTACGTTTGGACCAGTACAAATCTATGTGCTCATTAAATCGGTGGGATTCCGGGTTGTCAGGGACCCCAAGTAACGTGGCTGACGGCCATTGCTTCTCATCAAACAAAGTACACCCCATAGTCATCATGGGTTAAGGGATGGTGGGGTAGCCTAGTGGTTAAAGTGTTCGTCGCACGCCGAAGTCCCAGGTTCGATTCGCCAAAAGGGAACAATGTTTGAAGCCCACGTCTGGTGTCCCACGTCATGATGTTGTGGGATATTGCTGAATACGGCGTAAAACTATTCTCACTCACTCATCCCGGGTAACTTACCACCTGTTTACAGTGACAACTTTGGCTGAAATGGTGCTGACTGCGGCGTCAAACAATACTCACTCGAACTGAGATTGTCAGCTGAATCTGAAAATAGAGCATGTACAGCCATTAAGAATATAATTAATGTTTGGTTATTTTTGAAAGTGGCGGATTGTTTGACAATGGAGAAGCTTGGACGAACAGTAAACAACGGTTATAACCAACTCGTTTATGACGAACTGAGGATATGATGAACTGGGTTCTTTCCTTGCCACTTGCTGTATGGTTCAGTCGAAATGCGTATAACGAACAACGGATATCACGAACTGAAATTTGTGGAACTTTAAGTTCGTGATAACCATAGTTCATGTGTATGAATCGATCAGAGAAACGAATGGCTCGTTTCTGGTGTCCCCCGCCGTGA